AAGTCCGGAGGTAGGCTAGCCGCAGGTTTACTAATTCAGTGACCCAGTGATATTTTATTCCAGCTCTGCTTCTGTCGAAGCATGTTGGCATCCTCCTCCTGGTTGCATGATGGTTCCGTCACTTCTAAGCATCATTTCCCTGTGTGACAACCTCCCCAGTCTTCTATGAGGGGACCTCGATGGCCTTTGGTGATACAGCTTCTTTAAGTGACCATTCCAGCCTAAAATTCTCCTCGTATTAAATTTCTGGCACTTCTCTTGTAAGTGGCATTGAGCTAGAATTTATTTTTTTAACCCAACCTAAGAGACTTTTATTTTTAGAGAGGAGTGTTTAAGACATTCACATTCATTTTGATAACTGCTCTGTTTGAACTTATCTGTGTCCTATTATTTCATGATTTTTATTTTTTCGTCTTCTCGAATTTGAGTCTGAAGTAAGCCTGGCGTAAACAGGACATACAGAGGGACCAGATCATGCAGGGGCTTGACAGCCATTAGAAGTTAGGATTTGTTTTAAGGGCAGAGGGAAGACATTGAATTGTTTGGAACGTGGTGATCCTAAGTTCGTTATACACTTTGAGATCCATATGACCATTGCAAGGGAGAATAGATTATTTGGAGGAAAGAATGGAAGCAGTGAGACCAGTTAGGATGACGTTTATTGTAGTAGGGGCAGTAGATGATGCTGACCTGGTAGCAGTGGTCATTACAGGGAGGCTAATGACTCCAAACCAAGAACTAACATATAGAGACACATAGATCAAATGGGTGGCAGGCATCTAGGGAGGGAATCAAAGATGAAAGGATTGTCCTTGTTTCTGGGTAACGGCATTGCCCTCTGGGTAACGAGGATACCTCAGGAGGAGGAGAATACATTGCCAAGATAAAGAGAATGGACAGTTAATGTTTTAGAGACATAAATTGAATATATCTGCGAAATAGCCGAGTGGGTATGTCACGTGCTTAGAGCAGAAGTCTCCATCAGAGAAGTAAACGAGGGCATCACCAACCAACTGAACTGTGAGAGACGCCAACATAATGGCCAGGTAAGGGGAGAACAGCCAGCCACCAGCGGAGAGTGAGGAGGGACACGGCGTGGTAGGAGGGATGTCACAGAGCCATTTTTCTGGTGCCAAGAGAAACTGTTTCTGGAGTTTTGGGTCCAGGAAAGGGGAGGACAGAAATCACCCTTGGATTTATATCATCATGGAGGTCATTATTATATTCACGAGAGCATTTCCACTGGACTGTTAGGCAAAGGACCCTTCGAAGTGGTGGCAGAGAGAACAGAATGAGAGGCAGCAGAGACATTATGTGGCAGTTTGGCCAAGAAAGGGAGCAACGGAATTTTTTTGCAATGCTTGAAATGCCCATTTCAGTCTACACCTGCCCAGTGAATGTGTGGAATCAATATTAATAAATGGTTATCAAACGTCTGGGTATATAATATCCATTGTTGAACAGAAGTATTAATATCGAATTCTGTATACTTCGGTAGCCGAAGGAACCCAGGCGTAGCAGCATGTTGGAAAGCATGGTCCCCTCCAGAGGTTGGGCTGTGTCCATGCCCTCCGTGACCGCCGGGCTCTCTGCCACGGACTTTCCAACTGCTTGCCCGTTTCAGTCCATCTTGTACACAGTCTGGCTACCCATCGTACATGAGTATCATTCATCATAAATTGCTCTAAGATCCTGAAAAGATGGCATCATCCAAATACTATTGCTGCTCCATAATAGAAATGACCAGACCATTTACTACATCTAATCTTGGTGACATAGTGGTCTAAAAACATAGACATTAAAATGACTGTTTTGTGTGTGTGTGTCTTTTTGATTATACTTCGTCGTATAAATAATATGGATACAGGGTTATATTATACTGGGTCATTTTAATACATGATTTATATGATGATATTTTATAGTGGAATTTTTTTCCCTTCCTAAAATTTACATTATACAACCGCAAATAATATGTTCTGTTTTCTATAAGGATCAGATGTTACACCAATTATATTTTTTATATAATCTTGGTTGAGATTATTTAAGTATGAGTGCAAACATAAAATGTGGTGTCGACAATCAGCAACCATTTCCTAAGAATTATTTTACGAAACCACTTAGGAAACATCTATTTTACTATGTGCAAATAAGTTAAAGAATATTTATTTTGAGGCTGAAGAGTCATACAGTCAAGATCATGTAATCTGGGCATTTATAGTTTCAATGATAGAGAAGCTGGTCTTCTTATTTGAAGATAATGCATATTAGTCTATAGACTTTATGTCTGCCTATAAGTACATCACCATTACCACATGTTGCGTTAATCTCTCTAACTCTGCTATCAGAAGGTAAGTAATTGGTATACATTTAAAATCTAACTGTGAAGTTACACTCCTGGTAAAATGGTCCCACTTGCCACTCCAAGAATAACTTTAGCTCTTAGAAGATAAATAATCGAAGCTGTGTTAAGGTAAAAATTGCCTACGCAATGGAAATAAATACATTGCAGTTTCTAGCTTGTTTTAGAAAGGGTGTGTGTTTCTAGAGAATAAAATATGTTGACACTGTTTTTCTCAGTCATCATATAATTTTATTTATATAAAAATAAAGAGGCAAGATAATTATACAGAAGTTTATGGCCCACATTCCTTTTCGTTCTATCAACCTAGCTATGAAAAGGAATCATTATTTTTTGATGATTTATGAAGCTTATCTAGATTTCTCATAAGAAAACACTAGTCGCATTTCAAACAATACTGTATAAACCACAGACGATTAATCTACTAAGTGTATAAAACTATACTGCACCTATCTCTACTTACTAACGATTGGCCTAAGATGTATTTTTTCTTTACTTTTTTTGCATATTTGGCAAATCAGAAGCAAGGGGGTGAGAAAAGGGTAAAGGGAGTACAAGTATTATACAAATTTTTGTGTTAATTTCCCTCTTTACGCCAAACAGAAAATGTTGTCTATACCTCAGCAAACCAGACATTGTACATCAAAATTCGATTGGCACAGTTTGCTGTGGAAACTCCGATGCTTAGTATGGTTTTACTTTTCGCAATGGTTACATTATCATTTAGGTTTGCTTAAGTGGTATTTTAAGGAGCTGGGTCCTATGATAGCATGTATGAGGCTCTATTCTCATCTGAATATAATTTGCATTAATTATAATTTTCATGAAACATTAATCTACACTTTTCCGTTTCTTTATTTCAGTTGATTATAGTTTTTGTGTTTATCATGCTACCACATCTGGTTTGTAATTTTGAAATTTTCTTTTGTACTAATTTAAGTCTTTCACTTCTGTGACACAAACTATTATTCCTTGAATGAGAATGTGTGCTTTTGTCATATCTTCATATTTAAGCAAAATTACTAAAGAAGTAGTAATTATAATAACACAGCTAATAGAGGTAGTAATGTTGTGAAGATGTGAGGGTACCGTGAATTGTTAAATTCGGAAGGGCTGCTGACAAGAGTTTTGCTCCAGCTCATCGCTTCTCACTTCGTGTCTGGGAAATCTACTCCCAGGCTTTCAAGGGCAAGTATCAAGACTAGTACAAGACTAAATTTGAAAATAAACATTTAAATCGTTTTCAGTGTTTCCTCAAAAGGAAAGTCTGCACAGTGTAAAAATGTGTGCTGAGCTCCTTTTGAAACCAAGAGGGAGAGAAACAATTTCCAAACTGCAGTGCTAAGATAGGGGTGGGGCTAAACCAGGGGTGGAGCCTAAGCCAGGGGTGGGGCTAAACCAGGGTAGGGCCTAAGCCAGGGGTGGAGCCTAAGCCAGGGGTGGAGCCTAAACAGGGCAGGGCCTATGATAGGCATTAGGTAAATCAAAATGCGTGTGTACAGGCAATGTGATGCTTCTTAAATCTCTTTGTGCCTATAAAATTAAGGAGAGATATTGGAAGTATAAATGAAAGATAAATTTGTATTTCCATGTTGAATCCTTTACTTTTTCAGGGAACTGGATTATTCATTCATTCCTATACACCGATGACATTTTCCTGCCCCTGGCTATACTTTTGCTGTCCTTGAAAAGCACTGTCTACAACCTCCATATGTAGTCACAAAGGTCTATTTATTTTAAGGTTCAGACCCACTGCATTTTACTATAGGAAGTTTTCCCTGCTGCCTTAAAGTAATTCTTCCTTGCCATTGACCCCCAAAATAACATAGTTGCATCTTGCTACCGCCACATTACTTTCTATCGTATAGTATTTGTTATTTGTGGATGAGAAACCCTATAGCATATAAATTAAAAGTGCGGGCTTTGAATTCAAATCGTAGCCTTGCCCCTTAGCTGTGTAACTTTAGGCAAGTTCATTCACCTTTCTGTTCCTCAGTTTCCGAGTTTCAGTATAATGGGAGAATAATCTTACTTGTAGAGTTCCGAGTGTTAAACCAGTTAGATATATCGAAGAGCATGTCACTGTCCCCTTTGCATCTCTGCACCCCCCATCAACACTTTTCTTGTGTATAATCAGGTTCTCAGACAAGTGAAACAACCAGGAACATACTGATTCCTAAAAATTGGAAATTTGATTTTAAATATTTAAAACTTTTGATTTTTCTATAATTTCCTAATGTGTCTTCAGAAACAAATGACACGAGATACAATTTTTACACATAAAATCTAGGAATGAGTCAAATTACTATTACCTAAAATACATGGACTTATGCAATTTGCAACTGAAATTACTTCTTTTTCCGTTTGAGGGCTGATACTGCATTCTGGTTTTAAAATAAGCCTGCGTGTTTGGAATTGCTTTAAAAATCATATTTTTTTATAGGAAACTAGTGACATCGTGGTATCTTTGGAAAAGAATGCAATTGTGCCATTTTTTTTCCCCTGCAACTCAGACATCTGCACAAACTCAGCCACAAACATCAAAACTTACTTGTATTTTCATGTATCGTCTAACTGTTTATTTTGTGTGGTGTCATTTAATTTACTTTTGTGAAATGATGTATCTTTGGTTTCTGTTTAGGACCCGAAGGGGCTCTGTTTGAACATTCAGTGGAGACACCCCTTGTGAAAGCCGACCCATTTCAGGAGCTGAGGTAAAAATTTTATTCAAATATAAACACCCTGTCTTATAGAGGATACCCGAGTAGGTGCTAGAATGATATTTTAGCAGTTATTATCAGATTGCTTCTTATTCCATTAGTTGTCTTTATTCTTATGACTTTCCGCTTGTAACTAACCAGTCATTACTTACTGATTCTCCACTCTTCTTGGCTCTCTGGCCACAGGCCTCTGCTCTGCCTGCCACCGCTTCAGCTCAGACCCTATACTAGTCCTGTGGCCTATTCCAGCCTCCAGTTCGTTCCTCTCTTACCTGCCTGTCACACTGAAATCAGAGGGACTTGGCTAAGTGCAACTACATGTTTAAAGTTCACTGATTCTGCCTCAAACACAGGAACGTTAAAGGGCTCCACCGGGCGTTCACAGGCCTCCATGAGCTAGGCCTGGGCTACCGTCTGAGCGAATATCAAACCCCTTTTTAAAGTAGATGTTACTGTTTTAAAATATATAGATCTTGAAACTAAACAGATCATCTTATGTTGTCCCATTGGGACATAAATCCGCTACTTATACAATGGGCCCTTACTAAAAAAGAAATGGCAGAAGAATATTCTTTTGCTTTCTAAACGGTGATACCAATGGAGGGTTACATAAGCTAAGCGTTACACCCAAAGTGATTGGGAAAATAATGAAATTGCAGGGGATTACTTAAGGAATGTGGTGGGTATGGAAGGCATAAACTAACATGTATTGAATGCATTCAGTTGTCAGGAACTGTGTTCTGTGCTGTCACAGAATTTATCTAATGTAATCATTAATTCAACCTTGTAAGTAATCAGTTTTATAAAAGAGAAAACTGAGCTGTAGATAGTAGCATGTTCTCAAGCACAAAGATAAAAAAGTAGCCAACTCATAATTCAAATCCAGCCCTGACTCCCAAGCCCATGTGTGTTGTTTACTCTCTCTGCCACCCAAGTGGACCCCGAGTGATTTCTTTGATCTAGTGCCAGACTCCATTGATTGATTATATGATAGTTATGTTTTCCTCTGTAAATTCTTCACACAAACTGTCTTTTACTTTATTTCTGGGACCAGTAGCATTTCCATTCCTGGCCTGAGTAAAATGAAAATGATTCTAGAATCTCCTAATCGACCTTTGAAAACACCGAATGTGGATTTTGTAGGATTAAGATCATGATGCATTTATAAATATATCTCTGAAACGTGCATTTTAAATATCACAATGTAAATGTTGATATTTGCTCAAACGGTAGTCATAAAAGGCATACTATCATGTCATCTGCAAATAGACATACTTCCACATCTTCTTTTTCAACTCTTTGTCTCTGATGGAGTTCTCTTATCTAATTACACTTCCCAGCATCTTTAGTACAGCATTAGAAAGAAATGGAGATAGTGTCCTTCCTTGCCTGCCTTTTTCTAGACTGAATGGAAATGCCTCTGGTGTTTCTCCATTAAGTAAGATGATGTGAACTGTTTTATAAAGTAAGCAAGTATCAATTTCTATTTTGTGTTGAATGGGTGTTGAATTTTGACAAAGGCTCTTTAGCACTAATGGAGAAAGTCATATATATGTGTGTATATATGTAATATATATATAAGGTATCCATAAGTAAATAAATTAAGAAATGGGTTTTCTTATATTGGACCCATCTTGCATTCTTAGGAAAAAAAATCTACTTGGTCATGGTATGGTAGTTTCTTAAAATGATTTTATATTCTGTTTGCTAATATTTTATCTAGGACTTTCAAATTTGTATACATAGGTGATATTGGTCTGTGATTTTTGTGTGTGTGCACTGCCTTTGTAAAATCTAGCTAACAATGTTATTCATGTCTCAAGAATTAGGATGTTCTCCTTCATTTTCAATGTCTGGAATAATTTGTGGATAGTTGGGACACTGTGGTCTCTAAAGGTTTAGTAGAATTCTCCCTGGAACCATATGGGCCTGATGAATTTTTTTTTAAGATAGTTCCTTAACAGTTAATTTCTTCTCTTAACCAAAATTTGTCTTTTAAACTTCCTACCTTTAACAGGGGTCAATTTTGATCAACTGCATTTCCCTAGGAAATTACTCATTTAATCTTGGTTTTCAAATACATAGGAAATTACTCATTTAATCTTGGTTTTCATATACATTTGTATGGTGGTCTGAAAGCAGTCTCTTAGGAATTTTAATTCCTTCTGTTTCGATGTTTTCTGAAACAACTCACTGATAAAAATCAACGTCTGTAAGTGCATGATTAACACATGAAACATCGAATCGATATAGTATCATTTGCATTTTTACATTCCTCATGCCAAGTATTTATTTTTCACTTATCACAGGTTAATATCTTACGTCAACCTATTAACAATGAAAGCAGTTTATGCCACCTGGTAATGGACAATTTATGGTATGGCCGGTTTTCCTTAATTCTAGCAATTCTAAGAGAAAAAATCATAAAATGTCAAAAGGGAAAAATAGTAAATATAGTCAATCGAACAAATGACAATAGTTTGAAGAGTTTGAAGTTTCATCCAATAACAAAATAGCAGTCAGTATTCATACAGGAATTCATCGATGACGTCTTCAGCTCCTGAGGTGTATATAAAGTGCTATTAAATCAAGAATATGAAATACATGTAAAAAAATGAATATTCCAAAAGTAAACTTATAAGTTGGCCTTCTAAGAAAGGCATACGAATATATTGGTTCTAATTTTCTTTTAACTAAAAGGATTTTTTAAGATTTAATTTTTATCTTTAAATAAAAACTTAATTCTTTTTAAGAATGACAGGTAAGATACAAAGTACTGAACAAAGGTCCTCATGGAGATCTCAAGGCTAACCTTCATTTTATAGTCCACCGGCTTCTGTGGTAATTAAGTTTAGGCTCCCACAAAAAAAATCGAATTGTGCAGGTCATTTAAGCATAGCCATCTGATCCAAGCGACATCAGTTATACTGTAATGCAACCAGTTTCTACTCGTCACATTGACATTTCACTCCCTTCTAGACTTTAGAGATTATTAGTATTTCTTCTGTGAAGAATAGCCTTAATGAGTTTAGGAGGTGATTTTTTTTTTTATTGTTCATGAGTTAAATAAATTGTATATTTTTTTCAAAGCAGAAGCAAACTTTTCAGAAATAATAAAATCACAGGAGTAATTTGGATGATTGTGGAATGGTACCAGCATTGAGCGTGAGCAGTACTTAAAATTTTGTCATGTTATGCATTTTTAGGAAATACATCCTATAGAACTGGGTGGTCTTTCTTCTGAGTCGTAATGATGGATGATTCAATTCAAATGAAAATAGTTGAAGTCAGTAAGGATGTATATGAGAAGAAATAAAGGGCAATAATATTAATATCAATCAGTGTCAAATTACGTCTACATTTAAGCATATATTTTCTATAAATTCAAGTGAAATACTTGAATATTGCAAACCTTATACTCATAAATCGTAATATAAATGAATATGTAACTATTATTAAAAATGTAGACATTTGGGACATGGTTCCTTAGTGTAGTGGTTAGCATGTCTGCTTTACACACAGAAGGTCCTGGGTTCACACCCCAGCGGAGCCACAGACCATGGTCTACGGCCATGCCACCCTGAACAAGCCCAAGGTCTGATCTTGGAAGCTAAGCAGGGTCGGGCCTGGTTAGTACTTGGATGGGAGACCACCTAGGAAGACCAGGTGCTGTAGGTATAAACAATAATAATTTAAAAAACATGTAGATATTTGTAGTATAAATGTGACTACACCTATAAAAAGTCATTGCATAGTTTATTAATAAACCAAAATACAAGCTCTTTAAGCTTTTATGTACCATAACACAAGCTTTTCTGTACAAAATAAAAATTAAGCATAGCAATGAGAATATAAAAATAAACCCATATCCAGATCTCCATAAACATAAATATTATATCTGGACAGTTAAGTCTGATGAACAGTGAGTTGCAAAAGACAGTAAATGCTTCACTTGTTAATCATACATTTTTAATTGTTGATTTTTATCTTGGAAAATATTTGGCCAATATGAAATTTAATTTATCCTGTGGTAGTATGTGAAAATAGGACCTTTAGGAACTTGGGTCTATTCGAAAACACTGCTTGAATGTGAAAAAGGGAGTGAATTTTCTCAAAAACATTTTTGGTTTTTCATATTTAGGTTTTTAATCCAATTAGAATTTATTTTTCATGTGGGGTATTAAGTAGGTAAATCATTTTATATTCTTTTCCAAATGAATAACCAGTGTCTAAAAAGTCAGTCTGTTCCTTGCTTATTTATAATGCTACTTTTGTCATCTGTACAGATATTTTTAATGGACTGTCTATTCTGTTCCATTGTTTCATTATTTTCCTCCTAAAACAATTTTTCCCTGATAGCCTGTTATCCGCTAGGGCGAGTTCCCCACCGTGTCCTCTTCAGAATTGTCTTGATACTACTTTTAGACTTTCATTTTTCCATATAAATTTTATAAACAGTTTGTCACATTTCATGCAAAATTCTATTGGAGTTTTAGTTGGAATTGCATTGAATTTCAGGGAGAATTCATATTTTTAGAAAATGAATTCCCTCATCCCTAGACACGGTATATCTCTCTGTTCACATAGTTCTTTCCTTATACCCTGCAATAATATATATATTGAGGTATTCTCCATTCAGTTTTGACCTATGTTACTAGATTTCTCATACTTTTTAAGTTGAGAATGAGTTCTTTTTCTATTACATTTTCAAAGTAATTATCATCGAT